CGCCTTGAGCCACAAAGAGAGGCAGGTAAGAAAGAAAATAATAATAAGAAGAAGAACTATTAAGAATTATTATTATTATTATTATTATTATTATTATTATTTTACTGACACAAAAACAAAGTATGTCACAGCAAATGAGATATATATGCTGGATTTCATATCACAAAATCACAAGCTGAACACTTCCCAAGCATTTAAGACTGTGTGATATATTTTCGAATGATGCGTGCAGATCCAAATAAGGTGGCCTTTTGCAGTTGACAGATTGTGATTTTGTCAATGTTTATTGTTTCCAAATGCACGGCACCCAGTGTGCCGATGACCACTGGGACCACCTGGTTTATGCCAGTGCCTTTGCAATTTGATTTTGTCATCCTGATAACAGCTGAGTTTTTCCTGTTGTTTTTCCTCAATGCGATTGTCACCCGGTATTATTATTATTATTATTATTATTATTATTATTATTATTTACCTTACTTGGATCTGCGCGCATCATTCGAAAATACATCACACAGTCCTGGGCGCTTGGGAAGTGTTCGACTTGTGATTTCGTGATACGAAATCCAGCATATACAGTATATCTCGTTTGCTGTGTTTTTGTGTCAGTAAAATTCTTCTTCTTCTTCTTCTTCTTCTTCTTCTTCTTATTATTATTATTATTATTAATATTATGCTATATGACCGGTTTAGGGTCACATTAACTGAGAGGAAAAGACTGTGTTGACCACCAGCAGTGAAAATGAAAGTCTCTGGAGAAATAGATAAGGGCTTATTTTGTTTCTCTGTTCTGATTTTCTCTCTCTCTCTCCTCCTCCCCTTCCTTTGTCTATTATCCAGTCTTTTTCTCCTCCATTCATGAACTTCCTTTCAATCTAAAAGCACACACACACATTCACAAGTGCACCTACACCTGCAAATCTTGCAAGCCAGCTTGCATCTCTCTGTGGCTGTCCCTTCCTCCAGTTAAAGCTGAACCTGTAAGATTTCCATTTAATTTTTAAAAAAATGATTGAAAAATTAATGAGGAACCTTGGACACCCTGAAGACCAAGACAATGATTATCACATCAGCTTTGTTGGACTACAGCCCACTTCATCGGACCCAGAAAGGATTATCCAGAATGTCAGTTATCCAGAAAATGAAGGGGCTCGAGGCTGTTAGGAATTGTGGGAGTTGAAGGCCAAAACACAAGAAGGCCAAAGTTTGCCCATGCCTGCTCTATGTTATTCTTAGGTCATATATTCTTCATTTCAATAGGGCTTCATGTATCCACACAAAGTCTGGGAATGTACCCCCAGCTGATTCAGGGACCATACTGTATATACAATGGGGAACAGGGGACTACAGACAAACACTGTATTCATAACTGAAATTCTGGCATATCGTCCAACATTTCCCAAATGAAAACTGGAACACATACATCTGAATATGGTCAAGATGGCAAAACTTATATAAAAAAAGAAGAATATATAAGCTAACAGAAACTTGCAGCACTTTGCTTTCATCTGAGCCTTTTTGGGAAAGCCAAGATTTGTCCCCTCCTCTCCAATATACTGAATTAATTGATTGAAAACAAATTTTGCACTCTGAACTCAATTTGCAACACAAGTTAGAGCGAGACAAAAAGAAAAACGGAAGGAGGGGAGGGAAACTGTGGCTCCTTCTACACTGCCATATATCTCAGGATCTGATCCCAGATTATCTGCTTTAAACTGGATTATATGTGTCTCCACTGCCAGATAATCTGGAATAAGCAGATAATCTGGGATCAGATCCTGGGATATAAGGGTAGTGTGGAAGGGGCAAGAGAGAATTAAAAAGGAATGGAAAAAGTGGGCTTACAGAAGATTAATTGGGACTGTTCCTGCCATGTCAAAACAGTTGGAGGGTATGTGCTCCATATATAACATTTTGTGCATTTGGCACTGATATTCTAATAGACAAGATCCCTTTGCACATTTGCGTCAAGATTTTTGTGCTATGAACAACATGGTCTGAATAATGCTATTACCTCTGTTGGAACTTGCTATATTTAATTTCTCTCTAACCTTGTTATCTATAATCCCACCACAAACAATTTATAGTTTAATATGTGCAATAAATTCTCTCTAATCTACATCTGATAAAATGGGCTATAGTTCAGAAATGCTCACGCCATAAGTGGATTGTTGCATCCTTAATATGCCATATGTTTTTTAAAAGGTAATTTTCATTTGAGAAAGATAGATCATAATAGAATGGAACACCAGTAAAAACCAAGCAAGGTTTTGTGATATGTAATACCATAGCTACACTCTCCTGACTATTACCAACTACAATTTAAGGATTACATAAAACACATACACAAAAACAAAATGCAAGCCATACAAATAAAACCAACAAGCAAACAGAAAAATACTGCTACAAACCTCACACTCACTATCTGCTTTTTTTTTTATCCCTTCTTATTCTAAAGTAAAGGTAAAGGTTTCCCTGACATTAAGTCTAGTCGTGTCCGTCTCTGGGGGGGGGGGGGGGGGGGGTGGTGGTGGTGGTGCTCATCTCCATTTCTAAGCTGAAGAGCCAGCGTTGTCCATAGACGCTTCCTAGGTGATGTGGTTGGCATGACTGCATGGAGCGCCATTACCTTCCCGCCAAAGCAGTATCTATTGATCTACTCACATCTGCATGTTTTCGAACTGCTAGGTTGGCAGAAGCTGTGGCTAACAGCAGGAGCTCACCTGCTCCCTGGATTCAAACCACCGACCTTTCACTAAGCAAGTTCAGCAGCTCAGTGGTTTAACCTGCTGAATTCTTATTCTATTCTCTTAAAATCAAGGCTTCTCAAACATTTTTCATTCACAATCCCTTTTCACTTGAAATTGTTCACGTCAGGGGTCCACAAACTTTTTAAACGGAGGGCCAGGTTACAGTCCTTCAAACTGTTGGAGGGCCGCATTATAATTTGAAAAAAAAATGAATGAATTCCTATGCACACTGCACATATCTTATAAACAATACAATAATTAAAATGAAGAACAACATTAACAAATATAAATTTATTAGTATTTCAATGGGAATTGTGGGCCTGTTTTTGGCTGATGAGATGTGTTGACCACGGGCAGTGAAAATGAAAGTCTCTGGAGAAATAGATAAGGGTTTATTTTGGTTCTCTGTTCTGATTTTCTCTCTCTCTCTCATCCTCCCCTTACTTTGTCTATTATCCAGTCTTTTTCTCCTCCATTCATGAGGAGAAAAATCAGCCATTCCATTGGCTGATGAGATAGGATTGTTGTTGTTGCTGTGTGTTTCAATTTGTTTCAGACTTAGGTTGACCCTGAGCGAGGGCCGGGTAAATGACCTTGGAGGGCCGTATCCGGCCCCCGGGCCTTTGTTTGAGGACCCCTGGTTTACGTGATCCCAGGTATATATGTACAATTCCTGGAATGATTCCATCAGCATTGCCTACAAAAAAATCCGCAAATCTCTTGGGAAGACAGGCAGACAAATGTCAGCATTCTGGAAGAAGCAAAGACCACCAGCATTGAAGTGATGCTCCTACGCCATCAACTCTGCTGGACTGGCCACATTGTCCAAATGCCCAACCACTGTCTCCCAAAACAGTTACTATACTCTCAACTCAAGAATGGGAAACATATTGTTGGTGGACAGGAAAAGAGATTTAAAGATGGGCTTAAAGCCAACCTTTAAAACTGTGGCATAAACACTAAGAACTGGCCCTTGAGCCCTGGCCCTTGAGCACTTTATCTGGAGGTCAGCTGTGACCAGCAGTGCTTTAGAATTCAAAGAGGCACAAATGGAGGGCAAAAGGGAGAAACATGCCAAGAGGAAGGCGCATCAAGTCAACTGGGACTGGGACCACCTTCCACCTGGAAACTGATGTCCTCATTGTGGGAGAACGTGCAGATCAATAATAGGGCTCCACAGCCACCTATGGACCCAGCACCAAGACACCAGACTTGGAGGACCATCTTCCTTGGGCTGCGAGGTATCGCCTACGTAAGTAAGTAAGTAATGTATATAATATGAAGTAGGTATAATAAATCAGCATTTGTAAGATTTGTGAAAGAGGCTGATTTTCTTTTTTGTGTGTGTGTGTGGTGTATATCTGAAGCATTTTCTGCAGAGTCCATTGTAAACAATACATGTTCTTCGTAACAGATTTGTGTAAACAGGTGGCATTCAGACATTTTTATTATTGCCACTTTTTTGTGAAAAGGTAATAAACAAGTTCTGGTCTTTCTTAAAGTTGGTTAAAGCTTTCTCCTTAATAAGCTGAGTCAATTTCCCTATCTAAATAAGTTCACATTTTGACTTTTTTTTTTAAACTACAACAAACTAGTTGTACTAGCTTTGGAAACTGGGACCTCTGATCTACTTGTTTGATGGAGGCTATATGAAGTAAATTAGTTAATTCTACTGGATAGGACTGTAGTCCAAAAGAGTAACTTCTCAGTTTCTGTCACTGGACTGATTTGGGGCTAAATAATAATAATATATTTATAGACCGCCCTCTCACCCCAAGGGGACTCAGGTCGGTTTACAAACAAACAAAAGGCAAACATTCAATGCCCAAACTCAAATAAAAACATTTTAAAATAAACAAAATAAACAATAAACTTGTGACAAAAGAGAAATTAACATCAGAATGAGGACCAAATACAAATAATCGAAGAAATCTAATTATACTAATAACATAAATGAGCCTAGAAAAAGCAAAGTACATTAAAATGAATATCAAGGCTGTTCTTTTCATGCATCACAGCAGCCGTGGAATAGGTTAGACAGCAGGCATGGGCCAACTTCGGCCCTCCAGGTGTTTTGGACTCCAACTCCCACAATTCCTAACAGCCTCAGGCCCTTTCCTTTCCCTCCTCAGCTGCTTAATGTCACCTACTTGTATGTTGTTCTTTGGGCCATTATATTCCTTGACTCCTGCAAACCACAGTGCGCTCTTCTCCCAACCCACGTCCCCATGTTTGCCAATTTGGTAGACTTACTTGGATCAGACTTGGAGAAAGTGTCGAGGTCCAACAGGTTCCTAAGGAGAGTAGAAAAAAAGATACAAAGTGTTAAGTTTGATAATAGAGAAAGATAGGAGACATGCATTCGTGTAAAACTTATGCAGCTAGGATTTGTTAAAAAAAATTAAATGAAAGAAACTTTTCTTAGCTGCGGAGAAATGAATGGAAGCAAACAAATTGTTCGTGTGGAATTCCCCCAATTGAATTATTTAATTGATAAACTTGGCACCACAGCGGAGAGTTCCGCAAGTAGTAGGATCCCATTTTGACTTTAAAATCCACTTTTATCGACATTTAGCGGTCTGGAGGAGCCGAGCAGCAGCTACCAGCACCTGGGAGTCTTTAAAATACTTTTTAGCAACCATCTCCCCTTTTTACTAGTTATGTTGTTTCTAACCCCTAAGTAAACATGATTATCCTTAACTTTTGCTCTTTTGTATCCATTTCTCCTCCGTTAACTCTGGCATTTTCTTCCCTGATGTTAGCATGTCTTGCCCCACTTTCCACATTGCCATTTGCCCTTTTCCCAGGAACAGATTAATAATCGTATCATCATGGACAGTATATTGTTTTGATATACAATAGACACTGGTGCAGAGTCACCAGACCCGCACTGTTGGAGTTCATAAAGATCATCATCACAACAATAGAACTCATGGGACCTGAAGGCCCCACTCTGTTCATCTTGGAATTGGGACAATGTAATCCAACCATAAAACTATAACTCCTTTGTCTGAAGTTTTCATCCTGCCCCTCGCCTACCACTGGAAAACAGAAATCTGCATTGGGAACGGGGAATGCTCTTCTACTGGCAGACGGGCATTGTAGTCCTGTCTCTGCACAGAAACCTCCTTCAGCTGTTCTGATGTCCTTGAAGCTTGGCCAATCGCGGCAAAGTCGGGTCTAGCTGAGTGGGAGCGGGAATTTCAAAGAACTGTATGGTATAAAAGTGTCTAGGACTTTGTGATATATCGGCAAATAATACGTGCAGATTCCACTAAGGTGGCCTTTTGCAGCTGCCAGATGGTAATTTTCTCAGTGCCAAGGTCTTTAGGCACTTCACCTAGTGTGCTGATCACCACTGGGACCACCTTGACTGGCTTGTGCCAGAGTCTTTGCAGTTCGATCTTTAAATCCTATTATTATTATTATTATTATCTCTTGCCAAAATGGGCAATGGAGGATTCTGGGAGTCGGGAGACCAAAAAAAGGAACATTTCTCAAAGTCACCCTCACTCTTCTAAGTTGCTTCAGTTCTTCAACCAAAGGCCTCTCTGTTGTGCGGTTTATTAATGTATCCGAATTAAGACCATTAAAGGAAGCAATCAAATCCGCAGCTAAGAGTCAGCTTCGTACTGCAGATAAGAGGAAAGGGCAAACCCATCGCTATTCCTCGCTCACCACAAAGTCCTTGGGGAAAATGTCTCTGCAGAGGTAGAAATGAGCGAGAATTGCGTATGGTTCCCTTTTTTGCTAAAAGCATTGTAAACATTTCTTTTTTTTAAAAAAAAAATCACAATTCATCAATTTGATGGGAAAATCTGATTTAAAGAGAGGGTGGGTAGGTGGGATCCCAAATGATGGAGAAAGCAAAACAGAGAGATTTCTCTATCCATGCAGAAGGCTTTGAATGCTTAGCTCTTAAGAGCCTGGCTTCAAGTTCCTATGAATTTTACCATGTTCGTAGTGCTTAATTTATTCATTACTTTCTGACAGACTCCTCATCTTTAACAGATACAATGTCAAGCAGGTACATCATGCCTTCAAACCACCTTCTGAGTTATGAATTTGATAGGGTTTTTGTAACACTCAGTACAAGGAATATTTCCTTCTTATTCTGGACTTCTAAATCCTTCATACAAGGAATACTTAAAGTAGAGTTGGTATTGCCTTCTTCTGAAACATAGCCAAAAACTCATGGTAGTTCTTGGTGGTCTCCCATATCAGCACAAACCAGGTCTTAGCTTCCAAGATCAGGCAGGATCTCGTGCTTTACAAGTGTTAGGCTTTACATCAAGCATGGGCCAACTTGGGCCTTCCAGGTGTTTTGGACTTCAACTCCCACCATTCCTAACAGCCTCAGGCCCCTTCCTTTCCCCCCTCAGGTTGAAAAGGAAAGGGCCTGAGGCTGTTAGGAATGGTGGGAGTTGAAGTCCAAAACACCCGAAGGACCCAAGTTGGCCCATGCCTGCTTTACATTAATACTATAACTTTACTCATGGTGGAAAAGCTATACCAATTCCATTATGAACAGCAATGATAACTATTTTCCTCTTAGTAAGCATGTCCCAAAATTTGCAGGTTTCTAGAAAGATTAAATGGAAAAGTTTTGTGATTTCTGTAAAATCCCAAAATATTGGGGACAGAAAACTCTCTGATGAAGACTGGAGAAGTGAAAAGGAATAAATATATGGCAAGACAGGTTCTATCAGAGCTCCGAAAAGTTACTTTTTGCCCATATATCTCCAAATCCCTTAAGTGGCCACGGTGGCGCAATGGGTTCAACCCAATACATTCCCCAGTGAAATCAGGGCAATTTCTTCTGCTACTGAACTTTGTTGGCAGTTTGAATCCGTGAGATGGGGTGAGCTCCTGGAGTTAGTCCTGGCTCCTGTCAACCTAGCAGTTTGAAAACATGCAAATGTGAGTAGTTCAATAGGTACAGCTTCGGCGGGAAAAGGCAAAAACAGTCTCCAAGCAATCATGCCAGCTACATGACCAGGAGCTGTGTATGGACGACGCAGGCTCCTCGGCTTGGAAATTGAGAAGAGCACCTCTCCAGAGCCAGAGGTAAGCACCGTTTTCAGAGCTGGAAATGAAAGGAGAAGCCTTTGTCTTTGTCTATGTATTTATTTGTGTCACATTGTATTTTATTGTAACAAGGCATTGGCTGTTTGCCTGTGTGTGTTTATATACTGTACTCCGCTCTGAGTCCCCTTGGGGAGAAGAGTAGGAATATAAAATTATTATTATTATTATTATTATTAAGCAATATGGCTAGAACCCACTGATTATGGGATTCACAGGGTTGAAGTAACTTTAAATCTCCAAGACCATTACATCCTGATCCTTAATCTTGCCTGCCACCCTTGATAAATTAAATGAAATTAAATGTTTCACTCTTAATATTGTAAATCAGCTTTTGATTTCGCTTTTATATCCTGAAATAAATAGATGAAACATTTTGCCCTAATATGATATCATGCTCTTCCTTTTTTGGTTCTCGTGGTTCTATATACTCTGAGCTGGGACTAAGAATTGTCAACAGATATTGTTAGATGGCAAGTCCCAAAAGCCCCAGCCAGCATAGCCTTGACAACATTATACCCCTACCCTGAGTATAATTAATAGCCATGCTTAATAGGCAGTTGTCATGCCTGTTTATGTGACAGCTGGGTGACAAAGCTGAAGCTGGCACTGGTTTTGCGGTTTCTTATTCAACATAGATCTAAAAAGGTATCTAATGGAGAATGAGAGGTTTTCATATTTCTTCTGGTCATGAAAGTGGGAGAGGGCCAAAGATCACTGGACCAGGTAAATTAGTATATACTTCCTTTTATTATTCTTGCCAAGTATGCATCCCACTTTTGTGTTTCACTAGCTGCCCAGATCTTTGCAGTGTTGCTTTTGAACTATATTCAAGAATTGTACAGCCAGCATGGTCAATATCCAACTACAGCTTTGTCTCCCAATTATTGGAGACACAACAACAACAACAACAACAACAACAAATATGTGAACAGCTCTGAACACAATTTAAGAAGGATATTAAGAAGCTGGAACATATCCATATTCACTGCCATGGCTCAATACTATGGAATCTTGGGATTTAAAGTTTAGTGAGTCATTAACCCCCGGTGGTGCAGTGGGTTAAACTGCTGAGCTGCTGAACTTGTTGACCAAAAGGTCACAGGTTTGAATCCTGGGAGTGGCTTGAGCTCCCGCTGTTAGCCTCAGCTTCTACCAACCTAACAGTTCGAAAACATGCCAATGTGAGTAGATCAATAGGTACCGCTCCAGCAGGAAGATAATGGCGCTCCATGCAGCCATGCTGGCCACATGACCTTGGAGGTGTCTATGGACAACACTGGCTCTTTGGCTTCGAAATGGAGATGAGCACCAACCCCCAGAGTTGGACACGACCGGACTTAATGTTAGGGGAAAGCCTTTAGTTTAATCTCTACCTGAGTCATCAGGACTCTTTGGCAAAAAAAGCTAAAGTCCTTGTAAAACTACAGTTCCCAGGATTCCACAGGATTGAGGCATGACAGTTGAAATGGTGCCAAACGGCATTGACAGTAGATGCACCCTAGGGACTCAAAGCAACTGATTCAAACTGCAAGAGAAAAGATTTCACCTAAACATTAGGAAGAGCTTCCTGATGGTAAGAGCTATCCAATTGTGAAATGGGCTGCCTCTGAGTATGATGGAGTCTCTGAAGTTTTTGAAACAGAGGAAGCATGGCCATCTGTCAGGAATGTGTTAATTGTTTATTCTTGCATGGCAGATTGGATTGGACTGTTGGGCCTTCTCCAGCTCTATGATTCTCTGTGATGTGAGACATTAGGGAAGTTATGGACGCAAAAGTGTAACTCTTCTTAAGCTTTGCATCTTCCCACTTGCTGTCTCTTATTCCTCCAGGCTCTGCTAAACGATTCTTACTTTATCCTTCTTCTCCGAGATATGTGACCCTCCCTTCCTCCCTCCCTTCCGCTTTTCGGTTCAGGATGGAGCTATCTACATGGGTATAACTGCTGCCCTGCCATTACCCAGCATGTGGCTGGTAAAATTTTCATCCCTTAAATGGGCTTCCTGTCATGTTTAATCATCATCTGGGCAAGGAACTCCTCCGTGTCCTCATGCTGCGGATCACATCACACCAAACGGAGCTCACAGCCCATTGAAAGGTAGGTCCCAAGGGCATTGCAATGGGATTGACTTCTCAGTAAGTGCGCACAGGATGACAACCCTGATCTAGTTCAACCGCAAGTCGCTTCTGGTGTGAGAGAATTGGCCA